CCCCAAAACCCCAAAACCCCAAAACCCCAAAACCCCTTTTTATAATAAAAAAATTGAGTATTCAAAAATATTCTGATAGATTATAATAAATATGGAATTTACATTCAAATACACCATATTGGTTTTCTGTGTAGTAATCTTTACTGTTTTATGACAAGATGATATGTAAGCATACAATAATAATGAGTTATAGACAACTTCTAAGAGATGAATGATTGAGTCTAGAAGGAGATATGATGCTTGGTGATAGTATATCTATGGCAAAAGAATCCCTCCTACATGATGTTCTATATGATTTTACATTTAATGACATGTTTATGATCGATAGCAATAGACAGAGACAAGCTCTGTATTATTCACCTGACCACTTAAATGGTAGTGAAACGTTCCCACATGGGCCTCCTTCGCCTACAGGTGGAAAATTCTCCTTACAACTTGAAAGTAACTCTCATATAAGGATTCCAAGCATTCAGCAACAAGAAACAATGACAATAAAATTCTGGATGTTCTTGACTCAACCATCTCCTGATGATTCATGGAAATCACTTTTATACATGCAAGAAGAAAGCACTAGAAATTCTAACTTGGAAGTTCAATTATGGCCTTCTGAGAACAGGCTCCAAATTAGAATTTTAACAAGCAATGGAGTTGAGACACTTGACACAGTGGCTAATCTTCTCCCAAGAAAATGGTATCATATAGCCATAACTACAATTAGTAGTAAAAACGAAGCTCTTATTTATATAAATGGTTACTTAGATAGCAGCTCTAGAGTGCTCAGAGGAGATCATCAGACTGCCAGGCAGAATACTAGTTATTATTTCGGAAGCCATGAGACCACAAGAGGGGTCTATGCCTATATTGATCATATACAGATATTTTCTAGGCAACTTGAGAATGCAGAATTGTTGCCTGCATTTTCTTTTATGCAATCAACAAAGGATTTATTCATTATCCATGCTTGTCAAAGCTGCACATACGATGAAACTGAGCTTATCTGAAGGTCTTTAGGAAGTAATTCACTTAGAATTCATGACCAAGAAACAATATCTGAGTATGCAATGTGCACTCTAGAAGATCTATACTTGTCTGAGGGTTTTAACTTTGCTAGGATTATGGGCTGGTTCAGACCCTACATAAAAGATGACGATAGCGGCACTGTATGGATCAGAGATCTTGATGAATTACGAGATGAACAAAATCGAAGCAGAAACAAAGTTGGACTATGATGAAGAAAAGTATTGTAATTGAATCTTTTATTACTTTCAACAATTCCAATGCTGAAAGGGGTTTTGGGGTTTTGGGGTTTTGGGGTTTTGGGG